TAACGGAATTGCCACCGCCCCCCCCCCCCCCCCCCCCCCCCGGCGGCACCCAAGACAGACAAATTAAATAACCTACTTGACAAGTCTCACATAATAAGATTCATGCAACTTTCTTATTTCAAGATTATGTATGACATTTATTTATTTTTTCTTTCTCATATGTCAGACGATTGGAGCACTGGAATTGCTTTTATTATAGTTTTTTCATTTTTTGTTGCTAATATTGTAATTTAAGAATTACATAAAGTTTTGGTAAATTAAGCGACATGCACGTACAAATGTAAAAATATGCTATTTTAAATTGGTTTATTATAATAAGTTTATTTGTAATTATTCGTTAACCATAATTGTTATTTTATATTGGTTTTAGGTTTGGTTAACATCTTTAGTGAAAAGAGTACTGCTCAATTATTGCCATGCCATGACAGTGATATGGGAGGAAGAACTCAAGAAATACATAATATGGTGTTTTTTAAAGTGACTAGGAGCTGAGCCAGTGTATGCCCAAGGGGGCATGTGCCCCCGACTTGGCCCCGCCTACTATAATATATACTAAATTTAAGTTTTTTTCTATGTATATATAAAATAAATCATATAATGAACCTATAAAATTTTAGTTTCTATAATTATATATGTAGTTTCTATTCTTTTCTCTTTTACTCTTTAAATTCATTTAATTTTCTTTAAAAAAAGTTAAAATTTTCTTTTTGAATCAAACTCTAATTGTTTTTCCTTTTAAAGTTTTTTTCATTTTTCTTTCCTTTTTCTAATTTTTGTCAGCTATTTATTTTTCTGATAAAAGTTATTTATTTTTCTTTCATTGGCATTGATTTGTCAGCTATCTATTTTGCAATAATTTTTTTATTATTTTTTTATCTCTTGATTAGAAGAATCTAAATTTGTTATCTATGTTTATTGATTTTTTATTTTATTTTTTTACACTAAGCCCCTGGATTTAATTTTTGGCTCCGCCCTCAAAGTGACTGTTATGAGGTCAAATCAATGCCAATGACGGTTATACTTAAGCGCTTTACTTTTAATGTCTGTTAGATAGTAATAAAGATTTAAGTGAGATCCCTCGTACAATTTTAGAGCACGTTTGGTCCCTTAAGACGACAAATTAAATAACTTAGTTGACAAGTTTCATATAGTAAAATTCATGCAATATTTTTATTTCAAGATTATGTATGTTGGTAAGCATGCACTTTTTACTTTCGCATCAGTTAGAGGATGCGAGCTCCAAAAGTTTTTTTTTTACTCTACTAATATTGCAATTTAAGGATTACTTAAAGTTATAGTAAATTGAAAGCGAGATACACATAGAAATGTGAATAACAATATGCACATGAATTAAAAGAACCAACTTATGCATCACATTCCTACTCATAAAATTTAAAAAAGGCAAATAAATTAAAAAAAATCATGATTATCAAGAGTTTTTTTTCGGTTAAATGTGTTATATTTTGGAGTTTAACTATATTATTGAATTTTTCTGAGCGATCTAATATGTTGCAGTGATATTCATGTACATATCTGTTACAAGTGAGACTTGTCCTGCATCAGATCTGGATTGGAAGTGAAATGAGTTTAAATGGGTGGATATGCAGCACTATCGAACAACTTGAGCTTTTGGGTAAATGGACAAGCGCCCACATGTTACAGTTGGTATCAGAGGCAGATCTAGTCCTTGACCCGGTGTCATGCCAAGCGCTGAGTCTGAAAGACGTTCGAGTGAGCCATCCTGGTAGGTAGGGCGGCCTGACTATAACGAGGGTGTTGCGTTGGTTTGGGTGGGGGAAAATATTACAAGTGGGACTTGTTCCACATCGGATCTAGATGGAAAGTGAAAGGGGTTTAAATGGGCGGTTATATAATACTACCCAACGAATTAAACTTTTGACTAAATGGACAAGCGCCCATTCGTTACTTCCATTGGATGGATGGATGGATGACAATTCAATTTTCTTTTTTTCTTTTCCACTAATAAGTAAATATACTCGCACACAATGCCCCATTAGGGTTTGGACCGTATCTCGAATCTCTCAGTTTAGGAATACATGGCAATCAAGTCGAGACTTTGTGCCCTGGTGACTATGTCATAATGTTTTGCAAATATATAACAATTGTAACTTTTATTTTTCATTTTCCTAAAATCAATATAAGTAATAAAATAGTATACACTTATTTTTAATTTTACAATAAAATTAATTCAATGTTTGTATGCGACTGGACTAGGATTACTGTAAAAGAACATTAAAAAAATTTAAAAATCTTTTATTTATACAAAACAAAAATAATAGTAGTAAGTTATACAACTTATTTTGCTTACATTCAACCAAGAAAAAAAAAAACTTATTTTGCTTACACACACAAACATATATAGCTGGCGAAGCATTTTTTTTTTCCTTCGATAGTTTTTAATTTGATGTGGCCTATGCACGTTATTATTGTTATACGATTTCTATTAGATAATTGCGAAAACAAACACGAGAAAAACAAATCATTATTATAGTTCCGTCGTACTAATGCTCCTGTGTAATCTTTGTTTTAGGTTTGATTCACCTTACATTTCTCCCTTTAAAAGTATCGACTATGAAGAAACCCGAGTGTAAGCATTGCACCGTCTTTTCCTTTTTTTTTCTAATAACCGCATAAGGTTAGATTCTCTTGATGCATATGAAAAGAATATATATTAATATGTCAATTTTTTCCCCCTTTGCCTCCATACATTTGAATCATTTTCCGTTTTAAATATGGCTTTCACAATTCCCCTATTCAATGTTAGGATATTTTTGTTTGGATGTTTTTGGTAATATAAGCCTATAAGGTAGATCAAAAAAGAGTTGCAAGCATGCTTTGAGAGGGTTCTCCCAATAGTATTATTTTTTATTCTTTTATTACTAACCTCATATCGTCACATTGAATAAAATTATACAAAATGATGCTAAAAGTCTATGCAAACAATCTAACCCTATTTGGTCCCTTTTTGCAACTTAAAAAAAAAAAAAAAAACCACTTAAACAAAAAATGTGAATAGCAATACGTATGAGAATAAAAGGAATACAAATTTATTATTCACTAGAAGTACGGTAACAGAAGGAAAAAACAAACTAAACTTTCACCGCAATAATTCTAATACGAAATTTATGCGATGTACATCAACAATAATAGAAATAACATGTCTCAATTTTGTCAGACAACAATGCTATTATTTATTTTTCTTACATTATTATATAGTACTTCTAGCTACTAATTCCTTATTTGGTATGTAACCATTTGTGTCCCATCTTTCAGTAATACCTGACGCCACCACCACCTGTAATTTAAAATTACAGAAAAATGAAAGAAAAAGAAAAAGAAAAAGAAAGGGTTAGAAAATTATTAACATTTGAGATAAAGTCAAATAGGTGGCCATGAATATGAGTTATACATATATATATATATATATATATATATATATATATACCTGCTGTGTTTGAACTTGTGCCAGCCGGCCCAGCCCTCAGTGGTGAGGTTGGAGCCACAGTGAAGCACAATGCATCACAAACAGGATCATAGTACATCAGAATGCTATCTCCAACCTGAAGAGCTCTTTCTTCGCTAAAAACACTCAAATTGATGTGGAAACTGCCATCACTATTCTTCTCCAAATCAGATGCAATCCTGTGCCTGAGGTCAAGATCCAGCAAGTTGAGATTCACAATGCCATGTGTTTGGACCCGCCTCACCTTCTCATTCGACCAGTACCTGTAAATGTGAGTCGACACATCACTAGCCAGTAGCTTCACCTTGTAAGTTTGGAGGTCTTGTAGGGTGAGCGCTTTGACAATGGTCCATTGAACGTTTGTTTCGTTCCAAGGGTGCCCATCGTCTCTCGCTTCCACCAGTTGGCTCGTCAACACCGGCCGGAGATTGTTGGTTGTCTCGTATTCCTCTTGGGCCTTTGAAGGGAGGAAGTTGTAGAAAGGTGTCCTCCTCATTGTCCTCGATCGCTAGCTAACACACAGATAATTAAGAACAAAAAAATCTAGTGCATGGTTTGGTTCTAATGCATGGTTTGGTTATTTATAGCTAGAGAACTGAGATGAATAGATGATTACTTAGCACTGTATTAAAAACCATTTGCATACAAATTTTTTTCCCGGTAATGTGAATTAAATGATTCTGGATTTCTCAATGAATAGCTTTCTTTATGAGTTGAGATAAGTTATTAATTGGATTGACAAGACATCCCATTTAGGTTTATGATTTAAAATTAAGATTTTCTTTTCTGTTTGATTTAAAAGATGATTATAGATTGAGGTTAAGTACTTTTCTCTTACAAAATTAGTAACTTTTTTTTTTAAGAATTCAAAATTTGTTATTAACGTATTATTTTTGGTAAATCAAATGTATTAATTAACTAATCTTTCTTGATTAATACTTTTAAAGATACATAGATGCTCATCTCTTTTCTAGATTTTATCCCAAATTTATATCCCCCGGTAGTAATGGCCAAGGAAAATGACAGAGTCTCTTCCTCATCTGGTCAAGTCACATACATACATGGAATATATATATATATGGTTATTGAGTAAATATGAAGTTTCCTTATTTGCCATCATTATTATTTTATAGTTTTCACAAAAAAATCTGAGATCACTGATCAGTTAAACTCATATCTTACAACAAATTTCTGCAAGGGTTCCTTATAATGGAATTATCAGGGAAAAAAAAAAAAAAGTTCTATGAAGTTATTATTATTTTTTTTAAAATATTCACTTCTTAAAATTCCCTCAGAGTGGTCCTTGGAATATTCAAACTGTTTCAATTGTGAAATGAAAGCTTTGTTATTCGACTTATTCTAAAGAAAAGAAAAAAAAAGAAGGAAAAAAAAAACACGAAAGCTTTTGAAAAAAATTGAGGGAGATCGTGATTTTTTAATCCCAAAATTAAATCGGGCACAAAGTCACCACCACCATGCCCGTACCCGGACTCGAAATTTGGACCTCCAAGGAAAATATAAATATATAAAAGCCCCTGAAAGCGGCGTCGTTTCTCATTTCTTCGCTTCAGCGAATGCGCTCACTTCCCTTTCAAACTGCAAACCCTAGCAGGCAACGGCATTACAGACATGGCGATTGCTAGAACAGGAGTTTTCGTCGACGATTACTTGGAGTGTATGATTTCCTGCAATCCTTGCAATTGCTATATATATTTTTTGAATCTTTTTTTCCGAAACCTAATTAGCGTTCGGTTTGGTGTTGAATTCGAATTCAAATAGATGCAAACACATTGCCCGCAGAGCTTCAGAGGCTTCTCAATACCATCAGAGAACTCGACGAGCGTTCCCAAGGTTTCTCCGTTTCTCTTCTAAACAACCCTTTCCTCACTTTTCAATGTTAATACATATTTGTTCACGCATACGTTTGCATATATATGTATATAATATCATTTATTAGGTTTGTTATGTTTCTTTTATAAACTTATGATAAATTAGTTTATAATGCTGTTCAAAATTTTGGTGGAAAGCTATGATTAATCAGACGAGGCAACAGACAAAATACTGCTTGGGATTGGCTACTCAAGGCTCTAGAAAAGGGAGTAATGAAGAGGATGAGGTGGCATTCGAGAAAATGAGAAAGGATATTGAAGCAAACCAGGATAATGCATTAAGCCTCTGCACGGAAAAAGTTTTGTTGGCACGACAAGCTTATGACCTTGTAAGCTGAAGTTATTGTTGCATTTGCTACTGTTGTGCTTCATTTATCCGATTTCCTTGCAAGAAACTATTAATAATTGTTACATGGAATGATGCATGTTCCAATAATGGTAATGGTTCTATACTGATGCACCCTTGTGTTCATAGTACTGAACTATATTTTCTTTGAGTTGGGTTTGTTAGAAGATGTGGTAACTGAGCTCTAGGTAACTTAATGGAAAATAGATTCTAATTTAGTAACATCATGCAACATTTCCAACTACATTTACTGGACTCACATTGTTGAGCAGTATTGTGGTAGTTCTCTATAGAGTTGCCTAAATAAAAGGTCCCCTGTATTGTTTAGATGGACACAGCTTATCCAACTTATTGAGAATGTCCCACATATGGCAAGGCCGCAAGTACCATTAGCCAGTCTTTAATATCCGCAAAATCTACATATGGCAAGTACCATTAGCTAGTCTTTAATATCCATAATATTTTGTAAATTATTACCTTCAATAACTTGTATAATAAAAGAGAGGTATTGAACACAAGTTGAGGGATGCTGATCTGGAAGGAGGAGGTGAAGAAGACAAACCAAAGGGATTGATGGTGAATGTTGGAATGTTTGTGCTTTGTGACAAAGAGTAAATGAGCTTCAATTATGGTGTTCTCGATCACCTGATTTTCTGACCCTTTAATGCTCAATGACACCCCTATTTATCCGATGTTCTCCGGATAATACCCAAGGATTCGAGGCTCTTAGTTTAGTAGTGGCGCATTAAATGCTTAATACAACATTAAACGTGTTCGGCTAATTGACAACGGCGATAGTTGAGTATTGAATGATTGGAGTTTAGCATTAAATGTGATCCTAAGTGTCTTTGTCACGACTCATGACACGCGCTCACCATCTCTTTCGTCAAGCCAAGTATCCGAGATTTAGACATATTTTGACTTCTCTTCCACAATTCCAAGATCCTTCTAATTGTCCCATATAGGGTCTGTAAGTGTACGAAGAGGTCCTACCGGTGTCCTTCTTCGTATTTACCAGTTACCTCAAGGATTGTTTGTCAAGGCCTGTTGTTTCATGAGTTGCTTTTATTGAGGTGGGACGCTAGATACTTCAAGTTTTGCTACTTCGTGGTTATTAGTATCAGGGTCTTTGGCTTTCGAGAATTGCCTCTTTGGGGTTTGATGTCACTTGACAGCATCAGGGTTTTGGACTCAGGGATTGATCCCCCGAGGTTTGGTGTGACCTGATGATATCAGGGTTTTGGACTAGAGGATTCGTTCCTCAAAGTTAGGTGTGACATGATGATGTCAGGGTTTTGGACTCGGGAATTGACTCCTCGAGGTTTGGTGTGACTTGATGGTGTCAAGGTTTCCTGGCTCAAGGATTTTCCCTCGAGGTTTGTGATGACGTATTGATGTCAGGATTTTGGTCCGGAGGACTTTGCTTCCTAGACGTTTGGTTTGGCCACGGAGGTGGTCTGCTTTTGACTTTTTTCCTTTTGGAATGTGAGGCCATGTAGGCAGCGCGTGTTTAAGACCTTCAACTAGTTCAATAGTTCACCTTCAATAATTTGTTCAATATTTTGCTCTACTCTATAGAGGACAAAGATAGCTGGCAGGTGATACAAAGCACATCATACCTCGAGTGCCATTGGCAAGTGATATAAAGCAGATCATACCTAGTTTGGCACTTGAGGTTTTAATTAGCTAAAAGGGTAGCCGGAGTGTAGCCAATGGTGTTGTTATGTATGTGGTGGTGTACATGCATAACAACGCCATTATAAATATAATGGCGTTGTAAATATAAGGTTTCTTCTTTAGATGTTATTCTACCATTGCCGCTACACAACTCCAGGTGAGAAAAAGGTGGGTTAGTATATTCCCAGTCTTATAGAAAAATAAAAACAATTATAAAAATTAAAATATTATCATGGAACCTAGGAACATTAACCGATGAGTGAAATGAGCTTATGGATATACCGAAAAGGAAGAAAATCAATATAGTCAAACTAAATGGAAGGAGAAAAAGCTAGAGATATTAGGGAATGATATAAAATTTTCTATTTGAGTGGTTAGGAGAGACAAAAAATGGGTAAGTATAGTTACTATAGTAGTAGACAGTTTATTGAACAAGGTTTTAGTTAGAAGATAAGGTGATAGATTAATAACTACTACGTATTAAAAATTTATGGGTATAGAAGTATCAAGTATCGCGAGTGTTAATACAAAACAAGTAGACATAGATGAAATTACAAAAATGTTGTTTTTTAGGATTCTCGAGATGAAACAACACATATACTAATTCGTGAAAGTACATTTGTAGGAGGTGACTTCAACAGACATATAGGAGCTTATAAAATACGATATATATATATATATATATATATATATATATATATATATATTTATTTAACATGGTTTTGGAGGGAGAAACGAAAACGGGGAAATAGTCCTAGAATCATTCAGTACATTTAAGAGTAAGGTGAATAAGATACAAATTAATTATTGTTTATATAGAACAATAGTTCTAGGTTAATAAGACTTAGGTTGACAAATTTGTGATCAAAACTTCTTCATAATCCTTGCCTTTTATCCCATATGGATGGGGTCGGCCCCATGAATTCTCTTTTCCATTCTTTCCTATTATATTCTTCTCTTATTTTTAAATTGTTAGATCATTTTTTATTACAACTTTGTGAGCAAAACTTGGAGTCTGTAATTTTTCCTTTTTTTAAAAAAAAAAAAAAAAATTAATTTTAATTTTAATGTTTATTTGAGTGTCTACTTAGTTAAGTTAGTTGTGATACCTTGTCCGAGGAGAGATATGGAATTCAACATATACTGAATGGAAAAAAGGTAATTACAACCTATTAGGAAATTCACCTGTTAGGGTTCATGCATTCATTGATTAGGGTTTCACATTGGACACTAACCAGCGTGAACTGTGATAAATTTTTATTCTGCTGGATTAAATGAAGCGGGAGAAGCATGGCTATAGAAGCAAGTATGAGGGAGCTATTGATTGTACTTCCTCCTTCGCGTTCCACATCCATGTGTCCCTTTTCTTAAATTATACTTCCTAGTTTCGTCATGGCGAAGTTGTACTGATTTACTTCTGTTAGTTTCCAGTTACAGAATACTTGTCTTTCAGATTTTTCTTAAAAAATTCTTGTAAGTGTTTATTTATATAAAATATATTCACTTTAAGGAGGAAGATGCAAGGGTTTCTAGAAACTATAGACATATGATGCAAACTCTTTCTTTTATAGTAGTGAACTATATTTTCTGAGTTGGGTTTGTTAGAAGGTGTGGTAACTGGGATCTAGGTAACTTAGTGGAAATTAATTGCTTATTTAGTAACGATTAATTATTTAATTTCGTACAACATTTCCAATGACATTTACTAGACTCACAGTGTTGAGCAGTATTGTGGAAGTTCTCTATAGAGTTGCCTAAATAGAAAGGTCCGCTACATTGTTTAGACGAACACAATTTATCCAGCTTATTGAGAATGTCCCACATATGGCAAATAGCCAAATACCATTAGCTAGTCTTTAATATCCGGAAAATATACACATGGCAAGTACCATTAGTTAGTCTTTAATATCCGTAATATTTTTGCAAATTATTAACTTAAATAAAAGAGAGATATTGAACACAAGTTGAGGGACGCTGATCTGGAAGAGGGAGGAGAAGAAGACAAGCCAAAGGGATTGATGGTGAATGGAGGAATATTGGTGGTTTGTGACAAAGAGTAAATGAGCTTCAATTATGGCGTCCTTGATCACCTGAAGTTCTGACCCTTTAATGCTCAATGACACCCCTATTTATAGTTCGAGGTTCTCTGGATAATGCCCAAGGGTTTGAGGCCCTTAGTTTAGTAGCGGGGCATTAAATGCTTAATGAAACATTAAATGCTTTCGGCTATTTGACAGCAGCGATAGTTGAGCATTAAATGATTGGAGTGTAGCATTAAATGCAATAGTAAGTGTCTTTGTCACGGCATGTGCTCTCCGTCTCTTTCGTCAAGCCTTGCATTCAAGATTTAGGCATATTTTGACTTCTCATCCACCATTCCAAGATCCTTGTAAGCGTCCCATATAAGGTCTGCTTTTGACTTTTTTCCTTTTGGAATGTAAGGCCACGTAGGCAGCGCGTGTTTAAGACCTACAACTTGTTTAATAGTTCACCTTCATTAACTTGCTCAATATTTTGCTCCACTCTATAGAGGACAAAAATAACTGGTGGGTGATATAAAGCATATCATACCTCGAGTGCCATTGGCAGGTGATATAAAGCATGTCATACCTCGAGTGCCATTGGCAGGTGATATAAAGCAGATAATACCTAGTTTGGTACTCGAGGTTTTAATTAGCTAAAAGGGTAGCCAGAGTGTAGCCAATGGCGTTGTTATGTATATGGTGGTGTATATAGAATAAAGAGAAATTGGTGCTGGTGGCTTGGGGTAACCTCACTTGGTGTGGCAAATTCTTTTGCCCTTGTACTTTTGACTCAGGTCACTGAAGTCCATATAACTCGTTTTACAATCATTAAGTCCACTATAGAGATGTCCGTTTAAGATTTATAAATATAGGGTTACTTCTTAGGGTATTATTTTACCATTGCCACTACACAACTCCGGATGAGAAAAAAGGGGGTTAGTATAAATTATCAGTCTAATAGAAAAATAAAAACAATTATAAAAATTAAAATGTTATCAGGGAATGTAGGAACATTAACCGATAACTGCAATGAGCTTATGGATATACTCAAAAAGGAAGAAAAACAATATAGCCAAACTAAATGGATGGAGAAAAAGCTAGAGATGTTAGGGAATGATATAAAATTTTCTATTTGAGTGGTTAGGAGGGACACAAAAAAAGGGTAAGTATAGTAGTAGACAGTTTATTGAACAAGGTTATAGTTAGAAGATAAGTTGATAGATTAATGACTTAAAATGTATGGATATAGAAGTATTAAGTATCACGAGTGTTAATACACCACAATGAGACTTAGATGACATTATAAAAATGTTTTTTTTTTTTTTTTTTTTTTTTTTTTTTTGAGGATTCTCGAGATGAAACAACACATATACTAATTTGTGAAGGTATATTTATAGGAGGTGTCTTCAACAGACATATAGGAGCTTATAAAATACGATATGAGTTAACATGGTTTTGGAGGGAGAAATGAAAAAGTGGAAATAGTCTTAGAATCATTCAATACATTTAAGAGTGACACGAATAAGATACAATTAATTATTGTTTGTATAGAACAAGAGTTTTAGATTAATAGGACTAGGTTGATAAATTTGTGATCAAAACTTCTTCACAATTCTTGCCTTTTATCCCATATGGATGGGGTAGGCCACATGGATTCTCTTTTTCCATTCTTTCCTATTATATACCACGAGTCCATGTCTTCTCTTATATTTAATTTTTTAGATAATTTTTTATTACAAATTTGTGAGCAAAACTTGGAGTCTGTAATTTTTCCTTTTTATTTTTTTTATGCATTTGAGTGTCTACTTAGTTAAGTTAGTTATGATACCTTGTCCGAGGAGAGATATGGAATTCAACATATACTGAATGGCAAAAAGGCAATTACAACCATTAGGACATTCATCTGTTAGGGTTCATGCATTCATTAATTAGGGTTTCACATTGGACACTCACCGGTGTGAACTGTGATAAACTCTTATTCTCCTGCATTAAATGAAGCGGGAGAAGCATGGTGTTAGAAGCAAGCATGAGGGACCTATTGATTGTACTTCCTACTTCGTGCGTTCCACATCTATGGGTACCTTTTCTTAAATTATGCTTCCTAGTGAGGTCATCGAGAAGTTGTTGTGATTAACTTCTGTTAGTTTCCTGTTACAGAATGTCTTTCAGATTTTTATTCAAAAATTCTTTTAAGTTTTTATTTATAAAATACATTCAATTTAAAGAGGAAGATACAAGGGTTTCTAGAAAATATAGATGAATGTTTAGTTTGTTACCAAGATTTTTATTTTTATTTATTTATTTATTGTTTTGTTTTCCCGATGTCCGTAGACCACATGACCTCTGTCATGGCATCCTTTTGATTATCTACCACGAGAGAATAAATTATGGAAATATGAATATGTATGATGTATTTAGTATTTAGCATTTTTTTTATAGTACATTAATTGTGTGTGCATTCTTATATTCTTTGAGAGTTTAAGCGTGTAATATCTTTTTATTTTTTGATTTTTTCTTTCTTTCAGATAGATAGCCATGTAAAACGTCTTGATGAGGATCTAAACAACTTTGCAGAAGATCTTAAGCAAGGTGCAGAAAATGCTTCCCGGATTTATCCAGTTAAACGTTTTTTTCTAGATTACAATTTTGAAGAATTTAATGTGCTGAAGCAATAAGGATTTATATAGACCACTAGAATTTCAAGTTCTTTTCACCCTAATTAACACCATTAAACATAAAAAATAATAGTTTCTGCTAGGTTGCTGATGTATTATAATCACTGACCTGCTATCATACTGGAGCATCACACACAAGTAGTTTGACTGCTAGTTCCATCACACAAGTAGTTTGACTGCTAGTTCCATTACGTTGATATTTAATTAAAGCGTTACCATCTGGGAATTATTGATGGTCGAGTTTGTAATATTTTATAGGTTTTCTTAATGTCCTTTATCCAATACTTTGCAGAGGGAAAAATAGCACCAGATGAGCCAGCTATCCTTCCCACATTACCTATAGTCCCCAAAAATGAAAAACGCAAACCAATCTATGTAACACCTCAACCGAAACGGCTTGACTACAGGGAAAGGGACTGGGATAGGGAACGTGATAGGGATTTTGAACTCATGCCTCCTCCAGGCAGCCTCAGAAAAGATTTTGCTGCACCCGTTGATGTTGATCAACCTATTGATCCAAATGAACCTACCTACTGCGTCTGTCATCAGGTTTTGAATTCTGTTTTTGTGTTATTCTATTTCTACTTATTTATCAATTTAAATCCTCTATCAAAACTTGAAGTGTTTGGTAGTGCAATAATATGGTAAATCATGTTCACTAACATACTATAATTACCTTTATATTTCAGGTATCTTTTGGAGATATGATTGCCTGTGACAATGAAAATGTAAGTCCTATCTTCTTCAGAGTTTTTTTTTTTTTTTTTTTTTTTTTATTATTTTTTATCACTTCCTCAGTAGTCATTCTTGGTTTTCTTGCATCTGATTGTTAGAAAACGAACTTTTTTTTTTTTTCCCTTTCCTTTTTTCTTTTTAAATGCAAGAACAAGTTTCAGATGTTAATTGATTGATGGGGATCTTATGTTAGCGTAGGAGCAGTGAAATATAGGTTTTGGGGTTTTCTTATTTTATCTATTTTGGATTATTTAGTTTAGATTTTTCTTAGGATTTGCCTAGGATTTGTTTAAATAAGATGGGTACCCCCATCCTATGAGTGAGACTAATTCCCTCAAACCTTGTGGCAGACCCCAATTCCATGTGCCTATTTTAACACAGGAAAAATCTGTGAGAATAGCCTCATGGGACCTAAACCTTGTAATTCTTAACCAACTCTTCCACCCTCTGGGGTATATGTAAGGGCTTTGATGTACTAGAAATTATTACACCTTCTGAATGATTATTGAGATATTGAGATTTTTCTTCCTCCCTGATTTTGTGCTTCCGTATCTCTTCTCCTTTTTTTCTATTCTTTTTTCTTCTTTCTTGTTTCTTCAGCAAATTCTGGTCTACTGTAATCAATCTATTCTTTCTAGTATTCCTCTCTCACAAATATCTCTTTCTCTTTCCCTTGTTCACTCTACTATGCAATCTCTCTCTCTCTCTCTCTCTCTTTCTCTCCTCTTCCGTATCGCTGTCCCCGTTCTCTTCTCTCTCTCTCTCTCCCCCCCTCCTTTTTCTTGTCCCCTATCTCTTACCCAGCTACTGCTTGTCAGAACTTTTGCCAAACTAAGTAGCATGAAGGTACTAAAGTAGTAATGAAGGCCCAACATGAAAATTTTGACTCCTCGGATGTTTGGAACAATGATGTTGCATTCTATTGTATTGAAGATTACCTAGACAGTCCAGTTGCATACTTTTTAATGATCCATCTTCTATTGTGTCGAAATTTATTGAACTAGGAGGTGAGTTGTTCTCAGTCAGGAAGAGTGGGTGGAAATTAGGATGAGACACACATATTCATCACCATATCATCCATACCTACGTTAGGGATTGGGGAAAAGAAAGATAAATTTTAGGACAAATTTTATGATTTTCTTATATTTTAAGGATCTGATAAGAATTAGTTTATTTGGTAGTTACCTTTATTCTTTATTTTTAGCTTATATATATATATATATATATATATATATTTTGGCAGTATCTATTAGTAATTAGTGTTTGCCAAGGGCTTGCCAGCATTTTCCTATATAAAAGCTTGGATATATATATATATATATATATATATTGATAAGCTATAAAGGCTTGGAAAGATGACTATTATCAAATTATTGAGATAATAAGAATTTCCTTCCTCGTCTCTTCCTCTTTTTCTCCCTCTCTCTCTTCTTTTATACTTGCGACATAGAAATCCCCTAGAAGTTGCGATTATAAGCATGGATAAGGATGTACAAATTAATTAAGTGCGTGGTGGAAAGGCAAATGTCTGTATGTACAGAAATTTGCCCACAATCATCTACTGAAATGTAGACATATGAGGCAAACCCTTTCTTGTATATAATATTCAATTTTTTTGTACTGGACACCAATTTCACTTAATCTTAAAGAATACATAAATAGTAATTTCAAACTGGTCAATATTGCCAAGCCCCTTTATATGGTCCTTAAATATCAGAAGAGGAAAAATATTGCCTGACCATCCACCACTCCACCAATCACCAAATTCTTTTGGAGAATAGAGGTAATTGAATGATTGGCTAATTATTGGTGAAGTGAGCACCTGCCACCCCTCTTACATATCATAAAACAATTTTTTTCTTGTCTTAATTTTGCTTTAATTTTGTATTCCTTAGGCTAGAATAAATACGGATGGACTTGGGATGGACCGTCCTCCTTGTATGTATGCGCGAGGGATGAAATGGACATGCAAGCATCAAGCCTGTTACATGAGTGGGAGGGATGTGTGACTGGCCAGCAGTCTATCAAATCACTCAAACTAGACTTAACGTTTGACCATTGTTAGGGGTCTTTTTTTTAACAGTAATATACTGCAACGTCCCACATTGCCTGGAGCGCTGTGTGACTGGCCAGCAGTCTATCAAATCACTCAAACTATAGTTAACGTGTGACCATTGTTAGGGGTCTTTTTTCCTTTTAACAGTAATCTACTGTGACATCCCACGTTGCCTGAGGGGGGAGAGGTTGTTGGCACTTATGTGTTGACACATCCTAATTGTGTAGATGTGTTTTGAGGAAAACCGTGAGCATTGAGAGGAGAGTGTGCAAAGCGGACAATATCTACACAATGTGGGTGGGTCATGGGGTTGACAGTCCCCATCCTAGCAAGTTGCAGAATCACCTAGTGGATGCACTTAAAAGAGGGTGTCAATCACTGGACAGTTGTCTTAGCTATTTGGCCTTTTCTGGGTTTTTATTTTTATTTTTGTGCAATTTACATTCATTTTATCAAAGAAAGAGAAAATTTGTGTTGGAAGTAATGTTGCATTCAGTTCAAGGGACTTGAAATAGGATTTTCGTTTAGGTAAACCTCTAGGCATCACCATTTATGAAAATCTAGAGTGTTTTCTCCCCCTGGATCAAAGATTTTAAAAAGTTGTTACTTCTTGATCGGTTAGATTTTACTATCTTTTGTTCTCCTTTACAGTGCCAAGGAGGTGAATGGTTCCACTACGCTTGTGTTGGGCTCACACCTGAGACAAGATTCAGAGGAAAGTGGTATTGTCCAACCTGCAAATTATTACCACAATGAATACATTGTATCCAATTATTAAATTACTTGGCAAACCATGTCAGTGTTCTGTTCTATTCCTTTGATGTATTGGGAGAAAAAGGTTGATTCTCAAATGGGTTACTTAACTATTGATGCAAGGTTTCTGTCAATGGTTTGAAGTGCTTAATTCTTTATGAGCTAGGTATTAATTTTGACAGGGAAAATAATCTTCCCAGGGCAGCAAAAGTTGTAAAAGAAAAGGGGTTAAGATAAATGAAAGTTTCATGCTTTTAAATCCCCAAATCCAATTAGTTTTAGAATTGGAACAACTATATCACTTATTTTGAGTTTGTTGTATAGGCGGATAAAGGAAAGGAAAGGAAAACGATAGAATTAGTTAGGAGAGAAAATGAAAGATGTATTGTGTTAATTGTTCTTCGTGTTTGGATGGGGAAATGCTGTGATAATCTCTTCATTTTATCTAGAGAAGATAGTGAGAAAGTGAGGAAAAAAAGTTGAATGCAGCATTCACTATGTGAGTATAAACTGTAAAGTAATCAATATCGAACCCCTTGTATAGTGGTACTTGTACTCGAGCATTGCTACTCCATGTTAGCTGAGTTTTCAAGCACTCCCAGTGTGCAAAAGAAATCACCATCTCTACAAGTTGTGCAAAATAAAAGGAAGCAAAACCCTCACATACCCAACTATCTCATGACACTACCAATTTATTTTTTGGTAAATTTTGATTCTCATGAGTTTCAACCAAATGCCTAGGTATCTTTTTATATAGTTTAAGTGTTTTCAAACAAAAAATTTCATAAACAAACAATTCTCTGAAATAGAAATCTAATAATCTCAGGAATTTAAGTGATATCAGCAGAACACCTTGTTTCAGGTAGGTGGTATTAAGCCAGGTGCTTCAGTTTTAAATGCAACATGAACCTTGCACTCTACATTTGTGAGCATGCATAAATGTTCTGCTTGGGAATTGAACGATAATGGCATTCCATCAACAATAAAACTTGGAGCCTAAATAAACAAATATATTTCTCCCTATATAAAAAACTCAAATCATATTCCCGAAAAAAATTAGAAAGAAAAAAATATACAGATTTAAATTTAATCTTTTGAAATATGGGATTACAAATTATCATGCTCAATAACCTGTGCTCCTCTCCACTCTTCACCGGGTTTGACAACCACTGGAACCAGCATTGAAGCAGGGCCAGTGCAGATAAAATAGTCCTTGCCATACTTCTCTGAGATAGAACCAGGGCTTGATAAGTAAATGTCTTGGAAGCCCATCCGTATTACCCTGAAGAAGAGTTCGCGCCCCTGAAAATGGACCAACAGAAGAAAGAAAAAAAATAAAAAAAATAGAAAAAAAGAAGATGAAGGGAAAATGTAAGCACATTGTGCGCGAGCGTACAAATTATCTCATATTAAAAAGTTCAAAGAAGAATGAAACATAGTACATAATGGAGTTCACATATCTTTCTAATTGAAAAATTGTAGCTTCATGATTATTTTGATAGATCATGAAGCTACAATTTTTGCTAGAAAGATGGATCATTTTTGTGACTTTTGTAACTTCATGTTGTAAGGTGTAACAATACAGCTGAAGAAATGACTAGCAATTGTTTGGAATGTACAAGGACTTACCACTCATAACACAAAAGTCTTTTCCTTCCTGATTTCATGGCTAGGTTGGTTAAGCAACAACTATGTCCAACTTATGACACAATATTCCCTATTAATAGCTAAGAATCTGAGTAATGCAGTTCATAATCACCCCTAGAACCTAAGGTTTCGGCATTGGTGAAGCATAAAAATTGAAGATTCGAGTATGAGGAAAGTCACTTAAGTTTAGGTGTATAACATTTCACATTTTCCGGCACCCTGAACAACAAGGACTAACATTGGTAATGATCATTGCATTTGCTGTAACTTGTTAAAATTGGTTTGGATATAAAGGAAAAAGTTGCTACCTGATCAATGGTCTCATATTTTGACGGCGGGGTGTTATAAAATGCCTTCAATCTTTCCGTTGGAGGAGCAGCGTAAACTCTACTAAGCTTATTATTCAAAATGGTGATGGGCACATCTTGCACAGTCCAAACTCCTGGTTTCTTTTCAGGCTCTGAGCCAAGAGAGAACCACCCGGGATCCTCAGATTTCATTGCTTCAGCTGGAGATAGAATTTCAAAAGGTGATGATAAAGGAGGGTGCGTGCAGTAAGAGCAGCCCCGGAGTCCCTGGATCGCTGTCCCGCCCCTTTTCTTGAATTTGAAATGGCTAAGAATAGCAGTGTTTAGATTAACAGCTTTGCGACCGTTATTTTTCACTATAACTGCTGTTGCCATGCTTAGTGGATAGAGTGAGACAACGTAAGTCATCTCTAGAGTTCCTTTGATGCAGCTCAATTCAACCTGCAGTAAAACAATAATCTTGTTATGTTCTAGAATATTTCAGAGTTTTAGAGGAGGACAGAATGCTCTGACTTTGACTGATGTTTTTGCTCGCAAGAACGAACAAAGGGCGAGTTGCTGTTAGAAATATATATTTTAATTAATTATTGGAAAGTTATACAACGTTGGTGTGTAAATTTGCAGAGCTATCTTTCTAGCAAAAGACACAAACTTTACTGGAAGCTTTGTGTCATTCTGTAAAAGACATAATCATTCTAGAAGGTTACTCTTCGGGTTATATATATACAAGCGTTGCTATTATTTTCACTATATACTTAACTACTACACCAGAGCAATATGTGATTTCCTCCATAATTACTTTGGGTATGTAGCTTTTAACACTTTTCTATTAGTTTGGGTATATGTTTAATTATTCTTATGAAAAATGAGAAAATTCATTTTTCTATTAGTTTGGGTATATGTTTAATTATTCTTATGAAAAATGAGAAAATTCATTTTGATTCTATCAACCTATTCGGGTTGAAATTCGTTTTTGATTCTATCAACTGAAGTTATCCAACAACATGTTGAATTGATTGTGTAATTCAAGAAGATTAAAAAAATATTCATTATAATTTTAGATTGTAAAGTTAACAATTTATGTGAAAATTAAATAAAATTGTAAAATAGTAACAAATATAAATTTTTGTTAAAAAAAAAAGTTCGAGCTAAAGGTGTGAATCAAATTGTAATCAAATTCTAAGAAACATTACTCACTAGATTAACACATAAAAACTTTAGATGAGACACAAATTTCAAATCAAATCATTTTTAACAATGAAATAACAAGAAGAAAGAAAAATTTTATTTTTGTTTTCTAAAGGACCAACAAAGGATGTTTAGTGGTTAACTCAACATTCAGGTTCAGTAAATCAGGAAGTGCTGCCGACAATTCCAACTCCATAACTCCTTAATTATATCAAGAAATAGACAAAAGCATAATTATATTTGTACATTCAATTCCTTGTTGTCCTGAATTATGCCCAAATTTATTATTGAATTTCTCACCAATCGAGCTGCCTTTTAAACCAATGCAACATTTTACAAAATACCCATCTCAGTCGTTGTTCCCCATGCCCAACCCAATTCCAAATAACCAACCATACAAAACCCATAAGGTAGAAAAGAAGAAAGATTCAGAAACAGTACCTGGAGAGCATCAATGGAATCTGAATCCACATCCTTTACACTCCATTCAGAGGAATTGACAAGAGACCCTTTGGAATTTGGTTCAGACACATCATTGATAACTAAACCAATCCCACCTTTGGATTTGGTTGAAGAACCTCCTGACCCGGGAAGAGTATAAAGAACCTCCTCAAACCCATCGTCTTTCCAGTAAACCTTGGGCTTGTAGGAGGTGACATGCCCGTTCGGTATTCGGAGCCTCACAGAGCTGCCATTTCTGACTGTGAGCTCGACGGTTGGCACATCACTGGACTCTGAAAATTTGATACCTTTTCGGCCAAACTTTTGTTCGAGAGTCTCTGGAATAGATTGGGTTGTTGCAGTAGCCTTGGTTATGCTTGGTTTTGGGAGAGAGAAGGATAGAAGAGAAGCCATGAATGAAGAGATGAAGATGTTATTGTATATGGTTTTCCCTCACGAGGACACACTCATCAGTGGCTAGTGTGCTAGGCAGGCTCATCCTAACTGTTTTTTGGGAAAATTATCCTTGAAGAGACAAATGTGTATTGGTGGGTCAACCCCAACTTTCGATTTTCATTTATTTAGAAAATGTTCATAATTTGAGTTGAAAATTCTCAAATCTAAATTTTAATTACAATCCTAAGTAACCAAGCTAGACCAATATTTTTTTTATTTTCCCCTACAAGTCCATGAAATGTTTAACTAATTATTTTTTTATTGTCTATTTCATTTTCATTTTCATTATTATTAACTAATTAATTAATTATTTTTTGTGATGGGGACTTTTTTCTTTTTTATTTTTTTATAAATATATATAGAGATTACCTTTAACACGAAGGAAATCTGCATTTAACCAAAAAACGAAGGAAATCTGCATAATCTTTTGTAGAAATTTAAGGATAAATAAAAAGAACGGTAATAGGATATTAATAATTTACAATCAATCAATAAATAAAAAATAAAAAATAAAAAATAAAGAAAAAACAATTAATATTAATTATATATATACACAGAGCACGTGCATTGGCCCCATAACACGCACCATTCAAGTCAGAAGTGTACATCGTTCGAAAGCGACACCTCAATATTAACATATCAAATATTAGAAATGTATCATTTACATATTTTCCTTAATATCTCAACTGTTTTTACAATTTAAGGCTATGTTTGATTAGAGGGATGGATTGAAAGTTTTCACGGAAGTTTTAGGAGATCTGGTTGATTGAAGATACAGGAAGTCTTAAAAGGGTCAGCGAGAGTCGAAAGATATTTTGGGAGAGAAAAGGAAATTGAATATTGAACATTTTGCCCAAGTTACTGGATCCCATTATGTTGTATCTTAAAAATAGAATAAATACGGAAAATGCTGGACCTATTTATCAAAACTTTGAGACAATATTATCAGAAAAAATTTCTCTCCAAATGAGAGTTTTTGACAATGGGAAGAAATAGATTTTGATAATAAGTACTAGAAAAAAAATACGAGAAAATCTATAGAACAAAAAATGTGTTTGATTGCATAAAAAAGCAGTAAAATATTTTTTTAAGAGGAATTAAATTTGATCAGAACTTGTATACACGCAGAAAAATGGAATTTAGAAATCAACATGTCAAATATATAAAAAAAAGACACGCATAGCTACATCTAAACAAATCTATTCCAAAGAACAATATGAATGACAAATCTGAATCTTGGACTATATTTACAGTAAGAATGGAATGTGCTTATAAGCTAAAAGAGTAGTGAATTCAAAGGAATTTTATTAAAAGAATATAGAGTAAATGGCTCAATATTCACAACATACGCTAAATAAGCAAATGAATATGAATCTACAGAAAGAAATAGCAATCTAGAGCAACAGAAAGAAAAATGCCAAAGCCACAGGTGAGGGCGCCAAAGAAGAGTAGAAAGGTTTTGTGTTTTCACCACAAGACTTGTATGGTTCTAACTGGATGGTAAAATTGCAATTCCCTTGTGATACATTCTGTGTGGTAATCATAGCCAGACCTTTGAAATCACAGCTCTCTTCTTTCTGATCATTCACCTGGAAGAACACGTTAAATGCATAGGAAGCATTACCATTAGCATCCAAGCTGTTACAAGACGAACCAAACCCCATCGACGTGCAATCAGATTCACCGCAAGCATAATTTACACTCTCTGTAAGCTTACTCAAATCCTTTGCATTCGGATTCACCGTGCACCATTTGTTGGACTGATACTTCACGTCCTGCGCAGGCAACAGCATCTTGTTTTCGCCCTTACCAAATAAATCAACAGGGAATTTGGGCTGTCCATCGTAGGTAAAGATCCCCCAATGGCGCTCGAAATTCCCAGGAGCAGTGCTCTTGGCATCCTCATCAAGAAGCGCGAACAAGTAGACTTCTATGTATCCAGGACGAAGAGGGGTGCCTTTATTGGCTGCAAGTCTCGGTGAAAGTCCGTTGTAGTACCTAAAAGCCATTTTCATATTGGCATTCTTGTCACCATCCGTCGGCCACCCTACCTCCCCAACAAAAATGGGCATGTTGCCAAAACCTATTGCGTTCAAGGCCGACACACAGGTGTCATAGTTGGCCTCGAAAACATTGGTGTACGAAATCCCATTATCGACAATGGGTTTGCTTGGTCCGTCAAAGAAGGCATAGTCGATAGGGAAGTCGTCATTGCCATAAAGGCTTAGGAAGGGGTAGATATTTACCATGAAGGGTGCTTTGTTCTTGTCCAAAACCTCCGCAATCTGTTTCATTTGTCCAACAATATCCGCCCTGAACCTCCCCGAAGACGGGACGGGACTGCTGTCTGGTGACTCATAGACATCAGCATTGAAGGGCACGGTTGCCTTCACAGTCTCTCCAACTCCGGCATTATTGAGAGCATCTTGGATGTTCTTGAGAGCCGGGAAGGTGGTATTCAAGAATGACCCGTTGTAAGACTTGAGGAAAGGTTCATTCCCAACCGCCACATATCTGTGCAAAGACAAATATTTATGCAGATATACAACAAATCACAATTATAACAACACACACAAAAAATAAATAAATAAATAAATAAATCTTACTTGATGTTAACACCTCCCTTGAAATTGTAACGTGTGATATTTTTCTTCACCCACTCCTTGGCTTTATCATTCTCGTTCATGGTGGCGAGCATATCATTGGGAATAGCAACCATAACCTCAATATCAGTCCCAGACAGAGCAGTCAAGCTGGATTCATCAGCATCAAACAGTTTCACTTTCTTAATTGCATTGTCTTTCAACATCTGAACCACTATTTTTGGCGGCAATCTGTGGGATGCAATTGTACCCCAATTGACTCCAAGACCATCAACATAATATACACACCCCAAAAACCCCACAAACAATATATATGTGGAAAGCCACACACTTGGCATTTTTATGCCAAATCCAATTTTAAAATTTAAGAACCCAATGGTCCTTAAAAGAGAAAAGTCAAATCCTTTTGACAATTCTCTGAGAAAATAATGTGTTTTCTAGGAAAAAAATTGCAGGGAATGAGGGAAAATGGAGAAGGAATGGTTTTTTGTTGCTAGTGTGGGTGGGATTCCTGATAAAATGTAGTGATATTTTCCCACGAAAGTGAGATTGTGATGAGAAAATATGTAAAATTGGTGAGGAAAAATAACCAATAAATAATGAAAAAACAAAAATTATAAAAAGAAAACAAAATGTTTTTTAACCATAAAAAGAAAACAAATATGTGTACATGAATGTGCACAAGTAGACCTTACCATAAAAACATAGTTAATACCTTAATTAAAAACAGAATGTGAACAAGTGGGTGCGGAAGTAACCACCACTATGTATACCAAATAAGTTAATTTATACCAACTAAAGGAATCTAGAAATGTGGAAATGTAACGTTTCAAATAGACAGAGATATATAGTTAGTGGTTTGAATTTACAAATGCCAGAATAATTTCCCAATAATAACCACAATTTACCGACCTAACAAATTTACGTGAACATAGGAAGTGTTGAATAAACATATTTAGATCCTCTCCGGGAGGAACCTCTTATTTTTCGTGAACCTAGATTTTTTAAACGATACTAATAGATACTTTTTCTGAGGTGGCTTTATGAGATATTGGAAAACTCCAAATTTTATACATTCTCCAAATTTTATACATGTTTGTAATTATACATATAAATATGTTCCTTTTTTTGGGAAAGTAATTGTATATAGACATCTCACTGCATGGTAATACTGTAAATACATTACTTTTTTTTTTTTTTCCCATTCAATTCCAGTAAAATTTAACCGAGAAATATTTTTTTTTAAATTGCTAAAAAAGGGTCTGGTGAAATGTTTAATTAATTATTGTCTATTTCACTCTTTTGACTTCTTTTTGGTGATGGAAATATTTTGTTTATATAAATATTTATAGAGATTTTGATCTTATGAACCCTGAAAAAACAAAATGCCCAATCCAATTTGTTCCGTTAAACATTACATTGGTTCCCTTTGTTTTCACTATAAAATATCTTTTGAATCATATCTTCCACATTTTCCATCTTTGATTGCCGCAGTAAAATAATTTTTTTAGTAAAACATTTTCCTCCAAGATATTCTAAATATTTTACCTGATTGGACCCACATAATTTATTTATTTTATGGAATTTAAATATTAAGTTGTCCAATATATCAAAAAACAACATAATGGCCAAATATAAACAAATCCATTACATGACAAATCTGGATCTCGGACTATATTTACAATCAGAATGGAAACTAACAGATCAGTGACTTCAATGGAATTTTATTAAAATAATAAACATATAGAGTAGATGGCACAATAGTCACAATATACACTAAAATAATGCGATGAGCAAAATCTGAGTCAACAGATATTAGGACAGATGGTATAATCTCTTATTTGAGCTCAAAGGAAGATTGAGTGTCCTAATCTTGCTAAGGATAATATTGTGACCGTGTGCACATTTACATTTACTTGAACTTTCAGAAAGAAAGAATGATAAACCGAGGGTATCTACAGAAAGAAATAACGATTTACAGCAACAGAAAAAAGAGTTGGGGTAAAAAATGCCAAAGCCACAAATGAGGGCACCAGAGAAGAAGAGAGAGGTTTTTTATTTCCACCAGAAGAAGAGGAGGGCGCCTGGGAAGGAGAGGGAGGTTTATTGTCCTCATCAGGAGAAGAAGAGGGCGAGGGCGAGGGCGAGGGCGAATCATCGGAATGTTTTTTCTTTTCAGGTGCTAACTGGATGGGAAAACTGCAATTGCCTTGTGATAAATTCTTTGTTGTAACCACGGCAAGACCCTCGAAATCACAGCTCTCATCTTTCTGATCATTGACCTGGAAGTACATGTTAAATGCATAGGAAGCATTAGCTTTAGGATCCAAGTTTTCACAAGAGGATCCATTGGAGAGTGATGTGCAATCAGCTCGCATGCATGCATACTCTACAGCCTCTGCAAGTTTACTACTATCCTTGGCATTTGGATTATGCATGCACCATTTCTTGGGAAGGTATTTCACGTCCTGCGCGGGCAAGAGAGACTTGTTTTCGCCCTTGAAATCAACAGGGAATTTGGGCTGTCCATCAAAGGTAAAGATTCCCCAATGGCGCTCGAAATTCCCGGGAAGAATGCTCTTGCCATCCTCATCAAGAAGTCCAAACAAGTAGACTTCTATATATCCAGGCCGAAGAGGGGTGCCTTTGTCGCCGGCAAGTCTTGGTAAAAGTCCGCTGTAGTACCTATAAGCATTTTGTATATTGGCATTCTTTTCGCCATCCGTAGGCCACCCTACCTCCCCCACAAAAACGGACATGTTGCCAACCCCCATTGCTTTCAAGGCTGACACACAGGTGTCATAGTTGGCCTCAAAAACATTGGTGTATGATATCGAACCATCAACAATGGGTTTGCTTGCCCCGTCAAAGAAGGCGTAGTCGATAGGGAAGTCGTCATGGCCGTAAAGACTTAGAAAGGGGTAGATGTTTACCATGAAGGGTGCTTTGTTCTTGTCCAAAAACTCCACAATCTCTTTCATTTGGCCAAGAATATCCGCCCTGAACCTCCCAGAAGACGGGACAGGACTGTTGTCTGGTGACTCATAGACGTCGGCATTGAAGGGCACGGTCGCCTTCACAGTGTCTCCAACTCCAGCATCGTTGAGAGCATTTTGGATGTTCTTGAGGGCCGGGAAGGTGACATTCGAGAATGAGTTGTTGTAAGCCTTGAGGAAAGGTTCATTCCCAACTGCCACATATCTGTGCATACACAAATTAAAATAACAGCAGCTAAATTACGAGTTAAAGATTGCAAACTTATGCTAAATATTAATCCTCATAGCATTAAAAGAAAAAAACAATTAAAACGATTACAGACCAAACATTGAACATAAATTGTTCAACAAGTTTTGCTCAAGAACAAGCCTAACTAGCAACAAATCTAACGAGGTTAATACAGATTCCTTGCTTTTATGAGCTGCTAATATATTAAGTAATTAAACATTAACGGTGTCATTGATGAGATATTTAAGGGAATGCTTGAAGAGAAAAACTATTAGAGGGGATCCAAATCCTAACTCATCAAGGAAGGTTCTAGTTAATAGGGTAGTCCAAGTTGAACTCATCCACACAGTTCATTACTGTTTCTCTATGATGAAGAATCGCGTTCTTCAACTGAAATAGAATTCAAAATCAACTTCTCCAATTACATATCTATGAACTCCTCAGCATAGTATATAATCATACAATGACCTAAAAGAACTAATAGTGGATAAATTCCATCTCAGAACTACTCTAATGATATATACACACACTATTCTCCCAATCCACACCATATGACCATTAAATAAAATGTTGCCTCTAACTAAAAAATTATCTGATATGAGGACCATAATTGAACAATTGATTTTAAAGTTTGAGTCCACATGCAGCTGAGTGCTTTAAGTTAAAGATCCAGTTCCCACACTTGCCAACCAGATATGTTTTAATGTTTCAATCCTCATAGCAATGTTACAGAAGACTTCTCAACCTCAGGTCGATCATGTAATAAAATAATCAAAGTTTCTATTACGTCAATACTAGAAGAGTTTAATGCTCCATTTCATTTCAGTGCCGAGCATATGCAAGAAAAGAATAAGAAATTTACCCACAAAAAATAATAATAAAAAATAATAATAATAATTAAAAATTTGTAAATACATGAAAGAAGAAAACTAGAACATAATATGGATATTTTTTCTTTTTTACGAAAAATGAAAGCTTTCATTAGAACGGGTCACGGGTGTGCTTGATGATGACAAGGGGAAAATGACCACAATCACAGTATTTTCTGAAATAATATGGGAATGACCCAAATTTGAAGACTACACTGCACTTCATGCACATTAACCACAAAAAATACTTTTTCTAAATAATAATAATAAAAACATAAACAAAATACTTTTGAGTTTTGATGAACATGAAATAATATACCACCGAAAAATATAAAATTAGAAAAACGACTTTATTCATCAGAGGTAAAGCATCTTAGTACTCGTAAGTTTCAATGCATATACTAAAATTTTATGCAGATATACATACATAAATACAGCCAATCACAATTATAATAATAATTAAAAAAAGAAGATGATAATAATTCAATAGGAAAAATCTATAATGGAGAGGAAAAAAAAATCTTACTTGATGTCAACACCTCCCTTTACATGGTATTTTGTGACATTTTCCTTGACCCACTCCTTGGCTCGATCAAACTTGTTCAGGGGAGCGAGCTGGTTATTGGTAATAGCAACCATAACCTCAATGCCAGTCCCAGCCAGAGCACTCAAGATGGTTTCATCAGCATCAAACAGTTTCACTTTCTCAATTCCATTGTCTTTCAACATCTGAACCACTGTTTTAGGTGGTAATTGGTGGGTCGAAATGGTACCCCAATTGACACCAAGACCATTAACACAAACACAACCCAAAAACCCTACAAAGAATAAATATATGAAAAACCACACCCTTGGCATTTTGGGCTAAATCCAATAATTAATAATAAAAAAAGAACCCAATGTCGTTCGTTAAAAGAGAAAAGTCGAATCTTTTCTTTTGTGGTAACTTGCAAAAATTCTCTGAGAAAATAATGGGTTTTCTCGGGAAAAAAGCAAGGAAATCTAGTGATATTTTTCCCACAAAAGTGAGATCGTGATGGAGAAAATATGTTCAAGTGGTTAGGGAATAAACTCAATAAATATAAATACAAAACAAAAATAGAAAGGAAAATAAATTCAAGAGAAATGCACAAGTGGGTGAGGAAGTAACCAATCACTATGTAGAGCAAAAGGTTTAAACCATTGAAACGTGGGGATGTAACGTTTCACATAGAGAGAGAGAGACGGTTAGTGGTTTACGTCAATATAACCACAATTCACCATTCATAAAATTAAGTACATAAAACACACACACAATTCACAAACAAACAGCTTACGTGAATATATATAGGAATCCGTGAATAAACAGATTTAAAAGATGGGGTAAAGAAAAAATATCGGTATTGGGAAGCATATATAGGGAATGAGGATGGACTAATCTACAAATATTTTATTTATTTATAAAATTAAAAAAGATGTGTAGGCTAAATTATTTATATTTTTTTATATACTTCATTTATATATTTAATTGTTTAATTAGAAAGACTAAATTATTCATTTTCTATATATATTTTCTTACCTAATTAGATTTTCTTTTATTAAAAAAGTCATAATAAATAGGTAATTTTAGTTTTATATATAGAAAAACTTCTAAAAACCTTATATTAATTTTAAAATAAAAACTCATAATAAATAGGTAATTTGTGTTACTAAGAAACTTACAAACTGAACATATAAATTTATTATTAAAAAATAATATAATATTGCATGTGAGTAAAATCTAATTTAAAATTAATATTTAATAAAGTAATTAAATAATTATAAACTAAAATATACATTAACACAAAATTGGCACAAGTTAAAAGAGATAAAAATATAATTTTTAATTGAACTTTACAATAGGAATTCAATTATTGATAGATGAATTTTCAAACCCCTACAATAATATCAATCAAGACTATTTTTTATTACAATTTAGTAATATTTTATTTATTTAAATATTAGAAAATTATTTAAAGACTAAATTATTTATTTTCTTTATATATTTTCATATCTAATTAGATTTTTTTTATTAAAAAAAAACTCATAATAAATAGGTAATATGAGTTTTATTGAAACCCTTCTAAACACCTTATATTAATCTAAAAATAAAAAATAACTATTTATTCATTTGTATATTAAAAAATTATTTAAAAAATAAGAAAAGACGTGGAGACTAAATAGAATAAATTATTCATATTTTTATATAATTCATTTATATATTAAAGTGTTTTCTTTTCTAATTAGGTAATTTGTGATAGAGTATTCTTTTCTTTTTTTTAATTTTTTTGTTCATTTTATAGAAACTCTTTTGAACACCTTATATTAATTAAAAAAATAAAAAAATTCATAATAAATAAGTAATTTGTGTTAGAGTTTTATAAAACTCTTTTACGAACTCTATTATGACATATATATATCTTTTATATATTTTCTTATCTAATTAGAGACTAAATTATTTATTTTCTTTATATATTTTCTTGTCTAATTAGAAAGACTAAATTATTTATTTTCTTATCTAATTAGAGACTATAAATTTTATACAAGAAACCGTTTCTTGAGTGCGGCAAATAGCTTTGTTAATATTTTAACATTAAATATGTCCTTTTCAAATCACCTTTCCTTTTATATAATTAAATATTGTATATTAAAAGGTTTCCTTTTCTAATTAGATTTTATTTATTTATTTTTTTAAATTAGCTAATTTGTAATAGAATTGTATAGAACATTAAGATTTGAAAGTATATTTTATATTATATATTAAAGTATTATATATATATTTTTATATATTTTCTTGTGTAACTAGAAAGACTAAATTATTTATTTTCTTTATATATTTTCTTGTCTAATTAGAAAGACAAAAAATATATTAAATATTATATATTAAAGTACGTGTTTCTTTTTCTAATTAGATTATTTTTTTAATGAGTAATGATATTTGTACCGATTTATTGCAGTGAATTACCGAATTGAATGTTTTTGATTAGTTATTTATACACAATACAAGTAAGTGGAGGGTCCCACTTCTTTATTTATGCATAAATAGACCAATTAAAATAAATAGGTCTAACAATTCACTACAATAAATGGAATAAATAAAGGAATGGGCGAGCACTTACATGTATTGTGCATAAATAATCAATCAGAAACATTTGCGCGATTAGTTAATTCACTATAACAAATCGGTGCAAGTATCATTACTCTTCTCTAATTAAATAATTTGTGATAGAGTTTTATAGAAACTTTTTGAAAGACTAAATTATTTATTTTCTTTATATATTTCCTTGTCAAAATTAGATAGGCAAGAAAATATATTAAATATTATATATTAAAGTTTTTTTTTTTTTAATTAGCTAATTTGTTATAAAGTTTTATAGATTTTTTTTTTTTTTTAAATTTCATTTGAATTTTATAGGAACTCTTTATACTTGTAATAATTAATAGTATAGATATAGATAGATTTAGATTAATAATAGTATAGATTTTTATATTAATAAATAAATACAAAAAGTTATAAAGACACCAATTATAAAGAGAAAAAACGTGCACATCACGAGTCTGATCTATTATATGCATAGGTTATATGTGATAGAGTTTTATATGAAATAAAATAGATAACTTGTGGTAGAGTTTTATAGAAATTATTTTATTTTCTTTAAATAATTCCTTGTCTAATTAGATTTTCTTTTTAATATTATTTTATTTTCTTTAAATATTTTATCGTCTAATTAGATTTCCTTTATTAAAAATCTTATAATATAAAAACATCTTATTTCCTTTTGTTAAAAAATTTATAATAAATAGGTAATTTGAGAAACTTTCTAAACACCTTATATTAATTAAATAAAAAATAAAAACTCATAATAAATAGATAAATATGTAATTTGTGTTAGAGTTTTATAAAAATTCTTATTTTTATTTTCTTTAAATATTTTTTCATAATAAATAGATAATTTGAGTTTTATAAAAACTCTTATTATTTTTATTATCTTTAAATATTTTCTTATCTAATTAAATTTTATTTATTAAAAAACTCATAATATCTAAGCAACTTATCTCTTTCTATTATAAAAAAAGACATAATAAATAGGAAATTTGAGAAACCTTTCTAAACACCATGTTCTCAGTCACGTTTTTGTTAGTTCTCTGCGCGAAGCACTGCAAGAGGGGAAATGGGTACGCCGATGATGGCCCCAATTCCAGAGGCCCAAGTAGTCCCAACTACCTCCGCCGCCAGGAAGCACTCCGGCATTGACCGAGCGTCGCTCCCCATTTTCCGGTTCAAGTTGCTCAGGGGCCAGAAGGACGGACTCGAATGCGTGGTTTGCTTGAACCGGTTCGAGCCCATGGAGGTCCTCCGAGAACAGTGGGTTTACAGAAGGGTGTGCGCGCTTGGTCGACGGTGAGCAAGAAGATTGGTGATTTTCATTGGTAATTTGGTGAATAATTTCAACACCGGCGATGGCGTGTTGATGATCACGATTCGCGACTTCTACAGTCGCCACATCCGTTGTTTTGTTTAAGATCCATCTCTGCCATTTGTCGCCGGTGGATTCTAAACTCCTTGTCGTCGACTCGTCAACAACCGACCTCACCTTACTCATCGCTGCCGGTAACAACAACCCACCTCTCACCTGTTCCTTCCTTGGCAGCCTTGCGAACTCGCCGACCAACTCTCTGGTCCTCAGTTGCAACCAATCTCTGGTCCTCCACCTCAACGGTGCACGACATTGAAGACCCAACTACTCAGATGAGTTTCAGAACGGCGGACATATTCACGCCCATATAATATATTAATATATTAATATTCAGTTTACTTACTATTAAACTGAATATTAATATATTATAATATTATATATATATATATATATATATATATATATATATATATTATATTTATATGAACTATTTTACCATGTGGATTATGCAGTGTTCAATTATGGTTCTCAATTCATCCCCAACAGTACCAAACAAATTTCATCCAACATATACAAAGATGCTTTTTATCAGAGGTGGTTTTCTCTTCTCTCTATTTCTCTTCCCCTCTTTACATCACTTTGGATCATTTTGTTACTAGTTTAATCGGTTAGAATTTCCCTAAAATACCCATTTCGTTTGATGCAGAAAAGAATCCAAAAAACATGGTTCAATGTAGCAGTTTCTTCAAACTGGGTATAAAATTCAGATGCCAATATGTCTGCTGTTGTCCTCCTTTGGCAGCTTCTTATCCGCCGTTGTCTTCTTCCCGGCCTTGGGAGCCATTTTAAAGAGAGAAAGAGAGTGCCCGGAAAATTAAAGGAATAGGCGGAGGGTGAAATTTCAGAACCGTGGAGGGTGGTAATATAGTCGTTTCACAGTTTGCTTACACATATCAGTAATATATAATTTTGATAGTTAAATAAAATCATGGGTATAATAATAAGGGGTAAGTGCATTAAACACTCTCAGGTATACTTTTAGAAACGCTTTTATCCCTTAATTAAAAAAGTGTGTAATAAACACCCTAATGTTTTGAAATTGTGCAAAATTACCCATCTGTCAGAAATCTGACATAAATTATAATACCCATTTTGCCCTTTTAATCTTCCGAAAATACCCCACCACCAACTCTTTCTTCCATCACCGTCAGCTCCTCCCACCACCGTCTTCTTCTTCTCCACCACAAACCCAATCTCTCACAACCCATCTTATACCTTCAGTCCTCCCCGCTGCCCACTTCTCCATACCATCACTTTCTCTCTCTAAACCCACCATCACAACCCAATTCAACCTTTCAAAGCCATACGCATTTCGCAAATCTTTGGTACAACCTCTGACATGTTCAGTTTATGTCGTTTCAGAGCCTACCCAGCTGAAGTTGACTAGCAATGATAAACCATTCCCAGATGAGGTTTCAAATCATGGAGTTGTCCATAACACAGTTCAAAAACAAAAAAATGCAAAATATATATAAAAATAAAAAATAAAAAATAAATAAAAAAG